GATGCAATAAAAGCTAATTTTTTAATACTTAAAATAGAAAATGTACTTTGCATGTTAGATAGGACAACATGTAGAAAAGAAAAAAAAAAGGCACAAGAAAAACATTGCTTTACAAACCTTAAGACTTAATAAAAAAATTTTTATATTTTGCATATGAAAACATTGTAATGTTTACTGATAATCTGCCAGATTTCATTAACATATGCTTACTAATTTAAAAGTTATAGTATGAAAACTATAACAAACACAAAATGGTTACGAGGTCGGTCCCTGGAACCGACCTCAATGCTGAAAGAGTTAACCATGTGTTAGATCTTCTAAGCTTACCCTTTAGCAATCTCCACAATAGGGCCTTGGCCAGAAATCAAACAATGTTTCTCATGAAACTGGCGGAACATCCTCAAAGGGCTATGTGACATCACAACCTGCTGCTCATTAATCTATGTGAAAATAACATGTATAAAAAAAAAAGGTTGAAATTTCTCAACAAAGAAAACATTATCAAATCAATAACTAGAGCAACAGGCATATACAATAAGATTTCTCACAACTGTAGCATTTTCAATTTGACTGAAAAATTCAGACATGGTTTATTGAATATCATCTTAGCTCGTATTTCATATTATATGTCACACACACATTAAAAAAAGAATTTTCAGTAACCTTTAAGACAATGAATGAAAACTTTTTAACTATTTTCATCCAATGGTGAAGTAATCTATCCAAAAACTGCAGTACCACAAAGGCAAACTGATTTTTTTCTCTACATATATGATAAATGCAACCTATAAGAGCATATGTCTGACCAATACTAAAATAATTTGAAAAAGTTTCAAAAAATAATAAATTAAAAAGTCACTATAAAAATCTGTTGGGATAAAAAGGCAAAAAAAGAGGGAGGCCATTATAACTCAAATTAAATAAAAATGTGAAATCATATTAATTCTTATCTATGTATAGTATTACATTTATGTTCAATTTGTCTAATTAACATATTTGACAAATGTTGTCATGAACAAAACCATTACTACTACTACTGCTGTGATATTCTCAGGTGAACTGATTTCAAACAAGTATTTGATAGGACCGCTTAATAACAGTAGGGATTAACAGGATATTTGAAAGTAATCTGGACTTAAAACTTAACTGAGTTTTTAGCATGAGAAATAAACAGACTGGACACCTGTGATGTTTAGTGAAAACAATCTTTCTCATAACATAACAAAAACCAGTGTACATGCTTGTGTAGATGAGTGGATAATCACCTCTACTGTATAAGTGAACTGATGAGCCGCCACCTTTCTTAATTAAACATAGACCTTTGTTGAATGAAACACTTCAATCATATAGAACTGAGAAAAAATACATGCTTTAATCATGCAAGAAAGTTTGCATCCTTTCTCTTGCAAATGTGCTAGCAATTCTCTCAGAGCATTCATTGGCTATAACATACAGACATCACCACTTGGCCAGCTAAGGACAATGCAGTCGCTGACCCTTTCAACAATGGTGTACCACAACAACCCCTCCCATGAAGTGGATATTATCTGCTATAGCTATAAAAAACAGACATAAAGGCAACTAGAACAAGACAACATCAATGATTTTCTGCACCACGAGTATAGTTCCAAAACAACAAAGAAACTAACTCAATAACAAAATTTTTTTAAATTCCTTATTAATAAAAACAAGTAGAAAACGCATATCTGCCTATCATATTACTCAAAACAAATTGTTATCACAAAAAAAAGCAACATTACTTCAATTTTTAGCTAATACTTAAAATAACTTGACTTAAATACAAATATACTGTAGTTTTCTGAAGTTCAAGGACAATACAGTATTTACAAGAAAGTAATCTTTACAACAGACTTATTTTTTACAGGCTTCATGTTAAACTTGTAAGGAAACAAAATAAGGATGAATTTTCTACATTACAAAGGTTAAAAATTTTTAAGCTTGAACATATAACATAGAAGTCAGGAATATAGATATTGCTTAATAATATACCAAATGCTTCCTTAAGTACCATAATTCAAAGAAGGTTAATGTTGGTATACAAGTTTTTAAAAAATCAAGGTTTTAAGCAGATCAGATTTTAAAATTATCAAGATAAAAAAACAAGTCCACAACTGATAAGTACAGCCACTTAACAACTGAAATACATAAAGTTGTTGACTGGTTCAAAACTTTAATATCACAAATTAAGGGAAACAATAAATCACTATCTAGAATAGCAGAAGTTATTGTAGTTAATGCCATAAATCAATTCCTAGAATATTAAAGGATTTTGACTGACATCACAGAGATAGGGTAATTGATGCTAGAGTTAAGTAAGCTTCATAAATGTTTTGTAAATATAAAATTATACAATCAGGCATGAATGTTATGTATATCTTTATTTACATATATTATGATCACAGGTGATTGTAGGGACAAAAATATGAATTGTTTCTAATATTCTTTAGATTATTTTATATTACCAAATAAAATATGATCACCTGAACTCCCAACCAATCAGACAACTGCTGAGCCTTTTGATGACGCATCGTGTTTCCGGCATTAGTAACAAAAATGGTTGGTACTCTGAAGTTCCCATTGATATCTACAAGCTTCTGAAAGGCTTCAACAGAATGAGGTAAAACGTTTCTTCCTCTGACAATAACTCCATCAATGTCAAAGAGTAGACCAAATTTGCACTGCTGTTTTGTTGCAGGTGAAGGATTGGATTTGGTAGCAGTCTGAACCACATGGCTACAAGACTGGAACAAAAACAACAACAACTTAAAATATTACTTTTAAAATTCAAATTTTTTACACATTCATCATCATAATAATAATATGTTATATTTATTAAAATAAAATATACAACAAATGTTTCAGTACCTTACAAATCAAAATTATGGCAAAAAAAGTATTTTTGTATTTAACGAAAATTAGATATCATTGGCATCATTACATTATAAACATTAACAACAATAAAAAACACTGAAATAGGCCTTGTAAATTTTATCATAATGTCAAGCTTGCTAGTTTATGTGAAAATTACATTCAATGAATGGGTGTAATTCTTACTTATCATCATTTTTGTGTTGTCTTAATATGAAAATAAAGGTTAGCAATTATATTGTTTTTATGTATTCCGATCTTATTTCAGAAAATTTAAACAAGCTCTACAAAGGCCACCAAACTTAAGTATTTACTACATGTAAAACCTCCAGGTGATGAATTAATGAAAGCTAATTATAAATAAATATATGTATTCAAAACTTTTCAAGAATATTTGATGAAACTAGATATTATAATTCACCATTTCCAGTTCTACACTACTATCTCACGTGTTTTCTTTACGAGTTACACGGAGGATTAAGCAAATTTTCTACATTTGATACCCACTCACTGTTGATTAACAAATTTTAATGCACAAAAATATTTGTGCCTTGACTGGCCTACAGCTTACTGTTGAACTCTTGGAGCTTTTAATTAATCACAAATGATCTGTGAATTAATTAACAAGTATTTTTGTTCTCAATATGTCTTTCTGTTGACCGACTCAGTTTCAAAACTCAGCAGAACGGACTTGAAACTAACGTTCGGTACATACAAGAAACGTCTGTTTTATCCATATCGGCAGGCGTTACCACGTGACTGATCGTTCTTATACAACAAAATGAAGACTGTGACTTCTAGATATTATTTACTCAGCCAGTGGTGGACACTGCTGTTCTTGACCTGTTCTACATAATATGCGAAATTGCAGCAATATTCCCGAGAAGAAGAATAGATATCTGATAGAGAACAAAAGAATAAAAAGGTAACTAGAAGTAAACAACTACAACTCAGTGGTTTTCTAAACCACGTGTTTATGCTAAAAGTGCAAAGAATTAGACAAAACGAACAAAATTATTTACTATTAGTAAAAGATGATTGAAAACGCATGATATGCCTGCATATCACAACATCATGTTCAAAAGTATTTTTAACGGAAACACATATATCTCAAGTTTTGAGCAGTATGTTGATACGTATTATATTTTTCTGAAATTAAGATAAATTCAAATAAACACGGAACGTTGTATACACAAACATCGACACGTGTACCAAAAAATAGCACCAAAATTTGGCAAACAGAAAAACATTGTAGTTTTCTAAAGCTGACAAAAACTAACACGTTAGATTCAACGTGTACTGCAAACAGCTGCTACAAACTATTTAAAGAAATAATTTCAAGTAAAACTATGGTGGGAAACATACAAGGTTGCCATTGAAAATTCCGTGCCAACAAAAAAGCGTAATGTTCACATTAGCCTATATTTGGCATACTTGTTTATTACCTGTTATGCTTATATAAAAATATATAGGATGATAATTAACCAATGAAATTCTTTAAGTGTTAACAGATTATTATTATTATTTGTAATAGTTTCTAAACACTGAACCCTGATATTCTACACAAAATAAATCACTGTATTTATCAATAATTCTGTTAGTCTCCTACTTTTTGCTTGCCTAGCTTCTAAGCACTATTGTAAAATTAAGTCATATATTGCAAATGTTTAAGACAGTCATTATCAAACATTTTTCACAGCTGAGAAAAGAGGGAGGAGTCAAATGAGTATGATAGCTGCCGACAAAGAAGAAGAAATGGTCAATAGACGGGCATCAGTTCCCGAACTTTTCGTCTTTGTAATTTAATACATTATGGATTCTATATATATATATATATATATAT